TAACGTTTCGATCCAAACTAGGACTCGTTGTCAAACGTAAATGAAATGAATGAAATAACGGCATTACCGTCTTTCCGTTCGCCTGTGTGCTGTTTGTACCTCTATCAGTTCACCAATCATCACGGGTTTTGGGAGTGTGACGTAATGTTTGTCTATCTCGACGTGACGGTTGAACGACGGCCGAGTGCAAAGCTTCGAGGATTAATCGTTCCCCTTTCCTCTTAGCTCGCACAGCAACATTTGCGTTATCCATTGCGATCTCGTGACCTGTCCGTGCGCAGTGGTTCCAGATTTGTGACAGAAAGTTTCGTTATTAGTTGCAAATTTTGGTCATTTTGCGGCAAGTGACGGATACTTTCGATGGCTATTTGCTTCGGTATATTGGTGAACAGTGAGGTCACACCGAAAAAGACCATCACTTCATCTGGTTCAATGGTCAGTCCCTTGATGCGTTCCAGGAGAATCGTGGGACGTTTTGCATCATTTTGGTTTGCAGATAATGATGGGCGTAGTAGTTGGAGGAGGTATCTTGCGAGATTGTGATTGGGAGCTGTTGTGGATGCGACAATGGGTCGTAGTGGTACATCGGGTTTGTGCACTTTTGGTTGTCCATAGAACCGTAGTATCGGTCCTTCTGTGGGTTTGACTCGTCTGTGTTTATCATCCGTTAGTTTCTTGTTTTTCTTGAGAGTGGAAAAGGATTTAGTTAGTTGATTCCTCAGCTGATTTAAGGGGTTCCCGTTGACCGGTTGATAAGTTTCTTTGTCTTCGATGAGTTGTTTTTATCTTCTTTGTGTATTCTGTTTTGTCCAACAGTGCGATTGCATTGCCTTTGTCTGCCGGAAGAATGATAATATTGGAGTCATTTTTCAGCGATTTCAATGCTTTCATTTCGACATCAGGGATCAGCTGCGACTTTCTGTTGGTTGAGCTGTTAGCACATTTTGATCCTAATTTCTTCTGTTTTGCCTTTCGGGCAACGAGCAGTTTCTTAGTCCGTTCTCCACAGAGGCAATGAATTCGGTCGGTTTGGCATTGGAGTGGTTGAATTTCAGGCATTTCATGAGAATTGCCGATTCTGCGGTTGTGAGTTGGTGTTTGGAGAATTTGTGAATCGGCTCGGAATATCCTGAATGTGTTGCTTTCAAGTTGTCAAATTTTCTGTTTACTCTCACTCGGGTTTTCAAACAGGTTTGCGGTTGACGTCTCTTCTATGACGTTCTTCATTCGTTCGATCCAATCTGTGTCCAGTAATTTACTTGCTTCGTTTCTGAAGTGCTCACATTGGTAGTCATATACGGATTTTCGTTGGTGGGCGTCAGTGATCAGTTCGCGATGCATTCTTTTGCGGTAGGCAAGTGCGATGATTCTGGCACCTTCGAAGCGGACGGGTGGGTTACACGTTATGCATTTTGGGAGTGTATTGTTACGTTGGCATTGATAGAGGAAGAACAATTGTTCACGCACAGCACAAGAGCATTTGGAATAGCTTTTCCATTTCCTCTCTCTCTCATACACATTATATATATATATACTCACAGGTTTTTGAAAAAGCATGGCACCAACGGCAAGACAAATGGTTGTTATTTAACATAAAACTGTAATAATTTTATGTTATATATATCAACTGCATTATGGTTATGTTAGCTTATCGCAAAATTCGTTTCAAGTGTATTATACGGAGGTGATTTCGTGTCTCTCTCTCCCGGGGTGAGGTGTCGTTTATAATTTAAAACATGAACAATATATCAACACTTTGCAGCGTGTGTCATAAGACAAATATTTTCGCATAGTTTCCATTGTTCAGTTTTCGTTAGCGTTCATTTATTTCTGCGTAATATACGAGAACACGTATAAAGCGTCACATTTTATACCACCTTACCATTGCCTGACATGACCTTCCCTCATGCTCCTCCCTCCACCACAGTCGCGATTCTTAGAAGCGGTAGTTATTCATCGCTTGAAACCGTAATTATTTCCAAAATACATTTTTGACGCAACTGTTGTTGCCGTGGTAGTGAGGATGTCACACGTGATAACATCCTACCATTGCATGACATAACCTTCCCTCCGCCTCTCTCCACCACATTCACCACATCGTTCAGACCAGTTCACCTCCACATCAAATTTTGTCATCTAACTTGACCTCAGCCCCTAACCAAACACAAATCACGCAACTCACTTGTTCACCACCTTGTTTAAATCGCTCATTTTTACTCACGTGTTTCTTCGTTTTATATCGTAAACCTCCGTTGCCCTGCTGGACGCCCGCAGAACCCTTCCTCCGGATGCCACATACGACACAGCGCGCAAATCCCTTAAACACCAGCTCATCAAGAGTATGAGGAATGACCGCGAGAAGTGGTGGGTAGAAAAGTGTAAAGAGATTGAGAAGGCTGCGGCTATTGGTAATAGTCGTAACCTTTTCCATCTGATTAGGAATATGGGTCCTAGGAAAATAGGCGTAATTGAGGTAACTAAGGCATCCGATGGCACACTGATTCACAATCAGCAACGCCGTCTTGACCGTTGGGCTGAACATTTCAAGGCTCAGTTCAACTGGCCCCCATCGACATCTTGTCTCTCACTCTCCGCCTCGACTGGACAAATAATCCCAGTTGATGCTAGTCCTTCATCTGAAATGGAAGTATCTCGGGAAATAAGTTATCTCAAGAGGCATAAGGCCTCTGGCCCAGATGGGCTGTTCTCATCAGCGTTTAAGGATGGAGGCTGAGCGTTAGTCTTGGAGTTGACAAAACTCCCGGGCTCAATATGGGAAAGAGAGGAGGTTCCAGCTGAATGGTGTGAGTCGGTCATCATACCGATTTACAAGAAAGGTGATAGATCCTCTTGTGAAAATCATAGAGGAATTAGTTCAATCAACATCGTCTCTAAACGTCTCGCTGGCATCATACTCCGCCGATTGTTTGCCGCACGCGAACGGTGCACGCGTGAGAACCAGGCTGGTTTTAGACCCGATCGAGGTTGTATCGACCACATCTTCACTCTGCTCCAAATTCTGGAGCACCGTCATTCTTTTCGTAGACCCACCATCTCTGTCTTCCTAGATCTGAAAGCGGCTTTCGACTCAGTCGACCGCTCTAAACTCTGGCGCTGCCTTTTTCTGAAAGGTAAAACGTGGCAAGTAGAAGGTTCTCTACATTTTTATTTGCTCCGACGGAGACCACCCCTGAGTTATTGAATTGAAGCTAGTGACCCGTTTAAAACCACGGGCTCGAAAAATGTAAACATTGGTGATCCCATCTTGAGGCTTATTCGCCTGTTTCACCTATGTATTTCTGGTCATATTGTAGTTCGAATGATATAGACTACGCCCGGCTATCACTCTAACCATCCAGATCTTTCTCTACTGAATATATGACGGACCAGAATGTACCCATTAGTTCGTGGGCAACGGCAATGCCGAATGATTTTATGATACACTGCGTAACTTCATATGAAGCTTTTGAAACCATCTAACAAAACGCGTAATTTGAATGCTGCTTCAGATTTAGTAGTTCTTTTAAAACGATAAGCTGATTAACTGGACTATTGGACTTGCAAAGTTTATTTTCGAGCCTAACTTTTCCCCCGAAATTTGTGATTGGTAGATCGAAAGAAGGACATACAAAATTCATTGGACTCCATTCGCTCCTCAATCTTAGAGACAAGCGGCTCATATGATCCACTGGATTCCCTGATCGATGGAGATAATATGGAAACGTACTGGTTCATTTCGAAGGACTGGTTGGCGAGGGACAAAGGATCTCGTCAAATGATGCGTGATTTAATAGCGACCACAGAGGATGGGCGGCCATTAAATCAGATTGTGGGTGAGTTTCCAAAATCTCATGGTTTCTTGCATTCGTTCATGGTATATATATATGTATATTGAACGAAATAGGTGAAGAACAACAATGTCCCACCTCATTGTTTCAGTAACCAATTTGGAGTTTGTGCACACAGGAACTTCAGAATGTATTGTCGATAACAAAACGTACCCAAGCACGCAACAGATGGAACATAACTGCAGGCCTTTGCACTAGCGCGATTTGATGCTATCTCAGACGTCATACGATTATATGAATATGAAAGAAGAAGTAGCCTGAAAAACGAAACACCTATGACACACAGAATGGCGGAAAAAGAACGTGCAACGGGATCCAGGGTTTTCTTTTCATCACTGTAAATCAAAATTGCATGGATTCATAAAAGCTGCTAGCATGAATTTAGAATTTGAATAAAGTAATGATAATCCCGTAGGCACACACTGGTTTGTATCGTAAAGTTTTACACTAAAAGTGTTGGTACCTATTTTATAATCAGTGGTTTGGTATATATGGGGGTAGTTCGGCCAAATAACAATGTTTATCGATGCACGTTTTTGTTCAATTATTTTCCTGACATTTCTGTATTCATTCCTGAAGAAATGACTGAACGGATACCACCAAAACCATTTTTGTGGGGAGCGTTTCTACTGATGAATGATGAAAATTTTTTTTCGAAATAATTCATTCAGTCGAATGTGAAAGAAATCAACTTTCATTTTCGGATGATTCATCGCGATCCACATTGTCTTCAGTGCACCTTTGCTTTGTTTTATCTTTTTGTGGACAGAATCTACATATGAGATCCTGATTCAAACGGGCTCACAAGAGAACGCAGGAACTACATCTTTGGTTTATCTGACGTTTTACGGTTCACAATCAAAGACAGGAGATTTATTATTGAACAATCTGCACACGGGTTCCAAACTTTTTGCATCCGGTGCAAAAACCATTTTCACGGTATGTTCCAAGCACTCGATCAACGATCGTAAGATAATCTTCCTGTCCATAATATAAATTATATCCACAAAGCTGGTATTGAGTCGCTTTTCCTTACTGATATTCCCCTAGCCTGTACAAACAGTACAAGGTCTTTGATTTTAAACGATAGAAATAGCGATGTTCTGTTTGTAAACACGATGACTACTTTCAGTTTAAGCTAACTTACTGAACCCCTGAAAAACGGACTTTCTTTTGAATTTCTGCAGTGTACGGTTCTAACCGCATCACCATTGGGCATTGTTCAACGAAATACCTGACAAATTGCATTTGTCTCTAATTTTGGGTGTTTCTAATGCTTACATGATAAGCGAGATGTTTAGTATTTAGTGTCAAGCTATGGTGAATCACTTTTGGCTGTACCGATATATTACAAAATTATTGTTATTTTAGTTGCGCAAAAAAATTAAAATAAAGCAAAATAAATATTTTGTCATGCTTGATGAAATGAGTTAAATGGCAATATCGTTACAACCGTCCTTATGCAGAAAAAAATATGGAAACTCACGTGCTCAAAGCTTTCTTAAATTTAATCCCCAATTTTAAAATATTGCCAGCTCAGCTCTCTTTTTTCAAACTCATGATTTTCTCATCTCATGCGTAATACAGTGGTGGGTCCACTTTTGCGTTTATCCCCAAAACGGTCACCCCCTCCGAACCGATACATCGTCCGTATCCCAACTGTCCTGTCCAGTGAAACTCCTCAACATGGAACACAATGACTGTGTGAGAAAATTACGCCTAGTGTAAATATTAGTTTTTTTTCTATGCAAAATATCGTTCATATGACCTATTTTTGGTTAGCAAGTGATAACGATTTTCTTGCTAACTAAACTAATTGCTGCTGAGATGCTGTTAGTTTACCATACTTTAAGGTAAAAGTGGCTAACTATACAAAGGAAACAGTTTACATGTTGGCTTCTGCTAATAGCTTATCAATTATGAACCTTTTCTTTCACCGAAAAGTTCATTGTATTGAAGGAAATTGGACTTTTTCCTTTGATCACATAAATTTATACCGCGATGTCCCGGCGTACGTTAGAAGCTCTCTAACATTGCCGTTAGACGAATTTGCTTGCCCTGACACCCTGATATCCAAAATGTTACGTGTATTCGCGGTCGCCCACTGGAGCAAATGGTCGACATCCATAGATTACGGTGGTTGGGGTATGTGATACTCATGCCAAAAGATCGGTTGCTAAGGCAAGCGATGTTCGCCAGCCCAATAGGTTTGTAGCCAGTTAGATCGTAACCTGCATGGAAGACCTGATTTAGTGAGAAGCTTTCGATTGGAGTTAACATATAGTTAACTGCGTCTTCCTTCTTTGCTGTCGGACCAAACTGAACTGACTGACTACACCCGAATAAACATGAATTGTGTTCAGCCCTGACGTCAGCTGGTTTGCACAGTGGTAACAAACACGCCCTCTATGCGATAGGTCGGAAGTACAAAGCCTGAAAGGGAAGCTGGATGTGCACTACTGATGAGCTCCAGTGAGAGTAATTTCGAGTCCAGTGCTTCCCACGGTATGGTTCATTGGAAGAATGTGCGTGACGTTGAGGTCTGAAGGATAGTCATTTCGAACCAATCAATTTAAGATGGTTTATGCCAACACCAACCCCCGGTTGCTTAGGTTTGCGAAGTCGTTTGGAATCAGAAAATGGAAACCTAGCCTGTGTGCGTAAAAAGAACTGCGAGTCACACTGTCACTGCATTGTCAGCGGTAAAAGTGTGGGCTGATTCGGCCCTGTCGTATTCGTGTGTAACCTCATGTACTGTTTAACTATATAAACTGTAGTTTTCCGCCCTATCGTACCAGTTGCGATACAGTGAAACCCGCCGTGGCATAGATCGTGCAAACTAGCTTTGTTGTGCTCTCTCTTCAGCGTTGATTTGGTTGAATTGGGAATCCCACCTCATACATGGCCACACAGATGTCCGCTTACAATGTTCATTCGGTATGTACCATCACTTTGAAACGCGTTTGAACATAATGAAACCGTCTTCCTTCCGTTTCAGTTGAAACTCTGCGGATTAGGTGACCTGGAGAAGGTGAAGGTCTATCATGACAGTAGCGGACTGATTCCAGCCTGGTTTTTGGATTACATCCTAATCACGGAGACCATCAGAAACAAGACGAAACGATATTTGTTTCCCTGTTACCAGTGGTTGGGTAGGGATTTGTCCGACGGTTCTGTTTCTCGAGTATTGGCTGTCGCAAAGCCGGAAATTTATGAACGGTGGAAAGCGGGCGAGAATATTGGAAATGATGCGCGACTGGTTAATGCAGGTACGTGGAAACAACGGTTATGCAATAAACCTAATCAGCTCTATTTCTAAGAAACCACTGAGGTGCGGTATGCCTCATTGTTACAATTGCGTAGCAAGTTTGAAATAACTTGTCACCCACCTTCTAGCACGTGTTCATTTATTGTTGTATTCAGTTGAAGATTTTGTTACATGGTTTGACACATGAAATATTCTGTTACTTATATATTCGTATAGTGATGAAATGCTGCAAAACACATTTATTTGTGAATAACCTTATTGAAAAGTTAGGGGAAGCAATCAATTTTTATTTATTATCCAAATTTCTTTTCATTCTGTGTTCAAAAATAAACTTGGGATTAACTGTTACCATTGTTGTTAGTATGGAATCAAGTGTTTTGTGGAACCTTACATGAATAACCAAAGTATAACAAACCGCTCGTTTACTATTCTCAGAACTGATAACAGGTGAGTGTATTCGATCTCAATGTCTCGTTTATTTGTCTCTGTTTCCAAGATACCTTATTCCCTTTCTCATTGCACTCCACACACGCTGAAAGTTGTTGTTCTGTTGACTGCTCCACATTCACTGCACATATTTTCTGATTACCACCCATTGACTCAGTGCTACTCCTACTACAATACTGGGTTGGTCCAGCACCCATCTGCACTCTAACTGGGGAAGTAATATAGCAGGTGGATAAGTTTTCTTATTTGGGCAGCTACATCTCGACCGGTGGACGCATCACGGAATAAGTGTCTGCTCGCATACAGGAAGCTCAGTTGGCAGTTGCCAACTTGAAACATTTGTGGGGCGTTGCGACATCCGGTTGTCGGTTGTCGAGTGTATGCTGCGGCGATTCTGCCAGTTCTGATATACCGCTCAGAAACCTAGCCATTAAGGCAGTCGGATAAGGATAGATTGTCGTTGTTTGAACACCGCTGTCTAGGCAGCATTGCACGAATCTGGTGGGTAAGCCGAACAAGCAATATTGAGATTAGGCGCACAGTTTTGGGTAACCACGGTCGTCCACTGGAGCAAATGATCGACCTCCTTAGATTACGTTGGTTGGTACATGTGTTACGCATGTCATCATATAGGTTTCCACGGCGAGCGATGTTTGACGAGGCAGGTAGTGGGTGGAATAAAGCCAAGGATGGTCAAACTAAGACTTGGTACGAGAGTATGAAAATCCCAACTGGGTCACATAGGTCCTGTTAGGCTCCCTGGCTGGGGACCTCGGGATGATCGTGCCCGATGGTTAGATACACTAAGTGATATGGCTGAGTATCGTAAACACTGGCGTTCATGCATCTTATAAATCCCTTTGAAACCTTAGACCACTGAACTTCTCCATTTTCTGTTTGACTCTACTTTCAACTTTCCTGTCTTCTCCTATTCTTCATCCAAGTGGGCAGCCGAGAGACAGCAACCAAAACCGGCGCATGAAAGTGCATGGTTGATGGTTGTACAAACTGAAACTGAAACTACTCCTAAGCGAACGTCACTCAAAATGATTCCATTACAGAAAAGAGGCGAAACAACATGCCTCATGTTGTTAACCTTCTAGTTTGGAATGGACAGAAGATGCACATGGTTTTCGTTAGGTAAACCCACCATGGTGGGGTATTTTAGTCCCGCCCATATAGTTTGTCAGCATCATCTCCGAAAGCACTTCGTTGGTTCAAATGTGGTAAATCAAAATCCAAAAATGACAAGGCATAATAAAAGTCATTGTTTGTCGGCCGAAAAATTGACTGTTGCGAGACAATATCAATAATAATCAAAACACTTGAAATATAGGATGGTTGGAGTTCTGTTGAAGTCAAGTTAAACTAAGCTTTATTCACTCAAAGGGAGAATTTTCAACGGTTTTCCACGATATCTGTTAGAATTGGTGCCCAATTCCCTAAAGAAACGGCTAAGAAAACCTAGGAGGATGTTTCTGTAAGTGACGGTGCTTGCCAGAAGGAGCTTATAATGGGAGCGGGTACGGGTATTTGGCATGGATTTAAGAAGTTCGTTGTGCAAGAAGTGATCTTGGTTGTTCAAGGTTCTATCGGCTATTCTTTTACATACGTCTATATGCTTGCATACAATAAAATTAACCAGGGCATCTCGGCTATGCTATTACATCGGGGAAGAAGGTTTGTGGATCTGGCAATTATTACGAAATATTTAACTATCAGACCAGGAAAAAATACAGGGGAACAGTACAGCCGCTAAGGGAGGATGCATGCCACCACAAGTTTGAAAATTACATTTGGGGGAACAGGAGCCCTCCTAAGCCTGAAAGCACAAAAATAAAATTTGCGGACCTTATTGCAAACGTTCTCCGCATGTCTAGTCCAAGAGAGGTTGTGGGATAGAACGACTCCGAGGTAATATAACAGAGTCAGTTTTGAGAATGATGTAACCGTTAATGACGAGGTCAGGAAAATCAATAAAAGTAGTTTAATAACAGAACTAAATTCGAGGTTGAAACGAACGTCAACACATTTGGAAATATTACGCATGAGCGATCGGGGTAGGGACCAGCTGAAAAAGTCGTTCGAACTGCCTTGAAGTTGATGGAAAGCTGCATCAGTATTTGAGGGGTACCCAATCACCACACTTTCAGCATACTTACAGACTATAAAGTTGCTAGGGATAGGCGAAAAAGAACAACAAACACAGATTGTCAAATGTGCCATTCAGAGTGATGGCGGAGTTTCTGTATGACTGCATTCAACGGTTAAATTCGAATAGCGGACAGATGACAAACGTTTTTCAGATTTATGCTCCACTAATATACACCTTATTCATATAGTCAATAACTAATTTCTCAAAGCAAATGATTCAGAAGCATAATATATGGCCCTCTGAGTGCTCCTTCAGATTTACGGCAAGTGCGTAACTATTAGTGCATTCAGCCGTGGCGAAATCAAGCGCCTATTACGTCACCGGTCCGACAAAAGGGAATAAGGGACTAAATGGAATTTAACTTAGATGATATCCGACTGCCCGATTTCCATAGTGGCTTCCAAGAAATGAGAACAGTCGTTGGGTGGAGATGCTGAGAGCAACAGCATAAAATAAAAGTCAGTGGCGCGCCTACGTACTTATTATCTATTGGCTGGAATCCCATACCCCATGAAAAGAAAAGAAATCTAGAAAACATCAAAAGCTTTACAGGGAAACATAAAATCCATTGGTGTCGTTGTTCGTTTGTTTTCTCGTTTTTGGTTCTCCGTATGTTCCTCATTTACACCTACTCCTCCCTTTCTATCATTGTTGTTTTCACATTGGCAGCCTGCTGGTTCGTAATTCGGCGGTATACGCACTTACAACTCGCCCCGTTCCGGATTTCTCATTTGCTCATGATCCACCATTTATCGGACTGCAATCTTTGTCTATCGTTCATTTAACTTTCTTTTTTTATAAAGATTATTTTACCGTACTTTGTTTGGCACACAGTTTGGATTCAGACTTGGGTGAACTCAGTTCAGTTCCGGTTTGTACAACCATTAACCATGCACCTCGTACGCCGGTTTTGGTTAACGTTCTTTGGCTGCTCATTTGGATGAAGAATAGGAGAAAGACAGGAAAGTTAAAGGTAGAATCGAAGAGAAATACGCATATAATTATTGAGTTTCTACTAGGAACGCATGGTATTCTCGCCATGTATCGGATGAATGTGTAAATTTTCCTTTCAAACAATTCCCAATCACTTGAATCGTCCAATCCACCTAAGAGCCATCTGTTCAAATGTAAATCCCATAAACTATTTTGGGTGAATAAACGGCATTTTTCTGCAGACTTATTCACAGAATGCTACAAGGAGTAAATGGAAACATTACGGTAGAATTCAAGACATGACACCATGAACTAGAATGACAGCCTTTATTGCGGTAGTCTAGTGATATTCTGCCGCAAAATAAAATTTAGTGGAGTTACTTTTCTTTCGGCACTGATTCTATCCCGAGTATATATGTAATTTATTTCGTAATTAATTTGCATCTCGCCACATATGACTGCGCAGTTTACAAGAAATACGCTTTTATTAAACGCTCCTCGATAATCTCAAAATAACCGGATTTGAAAAACTAGAATAATGGGATCAGACAATAAATATATATTTATAAAAGTTTCATGATTTGCTCGAGGCACGGTTCTGCTATGAGACATACGCTTCCAAAATGGAGACACAAAAAATACATACGGTTAAAGATATGTATAGAAAATATCTATAGATTGATTCGTCTATGGTACGTGAAACATTTGATCAAAACATTCTTTATTTTCGCGTTTCGGCTTAAACAGTTGATATATCCTTGCAGAGACTACGTGAAGAGGATAAAAAGAATCTGTCGGTGTTCGAACACAGCTGTCTACGTCGCGTTGCACGAGTCTGGTGGGGTAACCGGACGAGCAATGCCGAGGTAAGGCGTGGAGTTTTAGGTAATCTCGGTCGTCCACTGGAACAGGTAGTCGACCTCCATAGATAACGTTGGTTGGGACATGTGCTACGCATGTCACCAGATAGGTTTCCATGGCGAGCCATGCTTGGCGAGGCAGGTAGTAGGTGGAATAAAGCCAAGGATGGTCAAACTGAGACCTAGCATGAGGGTATCAAATTCTTAATCAGGGGACTGGCTCACATAGGTCACGTTAGGCTCCCTGGATGGGATCCCCGAGATCAAGGCCACAGACGGTTAGAGATAATAAGTGATATGGCTGGGTGCCGCAAACAGTGGCGCTCATGCATCTGCTCATTATTTTCTTAATACCAGTGTATGTGAGTTATCTGTTTTGTTTCAGTTGGCTTTTAATATTCCAATCTTCATCCTTCCCTTTTAACCAAATGGGCAACCAAAAGACACCAACCAAGACTGCGCATTAAAGTGCATGTTTAATGATTGTAAACCTGAACTGAATTGAACTGTGCCCCTGCACCTTCATTCCATTTTTCGCCTTCTGTTCAGCAGCTCTTCGGTAGTCATTCACCATATTTAATCGACAACAAATGTTTTTCTGCGATGAACCGGCTTTATGTCGCTCTAGCGTCATGGTAGATCCAGAGATCTGATTGAATGTTTTTGAATGAACAAGGAGGGTGTGGTTCAACGCAATTTCGATCACTTCGACTGTGGACAGTAAGCTATGCTTGACCTACTTTCATCTCACCCCGGTGAGCCTGACTGACTTACTCATTCTGACACGATGTTCATATTCGATCAACCGAGCCGTGATTGCCGTACCCCAGTTTTTCGTCAATACGCGACTAAGCCAACTGGGGTGGTGTTCTCGAATGCGTTCGGACAAGCGGCGGGTGGTACGGCCAACGTTAGTGGTTCCACAGGAATACACAAATGGGTAAATGGAATGGCCTCCAAGATCACCTGATCTCTCCCCCTTGGACTTCTTTCTGTGGGGATATCTAAAGCAAACAGTTTATTCCCGAAAACCGAGAACGTTCCAGAAGCTTAAACAGAGTATTGTGGCAGAGTGAGAAAGTTTTCGAACTGTTAACACTCTTCAGGTGGAAGAAATTTATCTTCACCGGATTTCGCTATGCAAGCAGCAGAATGTAAAACATATGGAACAACTTTTATAATATGAATATAATTTTTCATTAAAATTTGTTCCTTCTTTCGCAATTCTATCTCCGACGTAGTCAGTTGGATCGTTCAACGCGAAAACAACCAGTTTGGAAAAAAGAGTTTTGCGTGAGCCTACATTAGGAATATTGTTGTCCATTATTAAGACAATTTCAAAGTTTCATTATCATTATTGGTTTACCGAACCCGATTCGAAAAATAGTGCGTGTATCTTAGACGAGTCAAGCGCTGACCCTGTGTCATCATCATTCCGAGTTTCCCACGTGGCGCACAGCTCCACAATTGATTCTCTTGTGGTGATTCTTAGGCAGCATCGGATTCGGAACCTATCCTCCTCCTGTGCCGGCCCGAAAATCGCACGACCGATCGGGTTCATTTATCGATTGGTCGAATGGTTCAGCCACAACAAGCGACCTGGTGCTTGCCCAGCGAGAAACCACAACTTGTTTACAGCCCTAAGTCTTAGGCAGGCACAGTGAACTTCGGTTGTGCAGCAGGAGTGCCATCAGCACACGGATGGACTGGACGTAACAACAGGGGCATTACAAAAGTACAAGCCGGTAATCAGCCAGTTTCGTGTTGTGGTGAAGAATTTTAAGCACCGTAGATCGCGGAATATGATCCAATCAGATCACTGAAAGGATCAGAGGGAAATTGTTTGTTTCAGGTCACGGGTGAGAGGGACGAGACGATGGTAAACGATGGAGCAATCGCACTGTATGAACGGATTGAAAGAATGAACAGTCTTTCCAAGTGTGTACATCTTTTTTAACCAAATAAACGACTAAATTTGAGTTTATATGAGAGAAAAACCTTGAGGGTTGGGAGGGGAATAATAAAATGTGGGGAATGGTTCACTTTGTGTATGCGTGTCTGTGTTTGTGTGTGTGTTGTACACGGGCCTTCTCAGATCTGCTGCGCTTGGGTTAACACGATGACCAGTGTCTACCAAGTAAGCGAGAATCGCACTTGTGATAGACTGGTCACCGGAACTGGTCACCGTGTTAACCCAAACGAAGCTTTCCACATTATTTATCAAGTCCCCCCGTACCGGTCCGAATACGTTAGAATGCGTACGTTGGCCAAAGCCGAGGCCATCTGTACTCAGTATTTGGCCTCCGAACTATGGGCCCAAAAGCGTCTTATCCATTCTTTCCATCTCCCCTGGATTGGCGCACCCACACCTCCCCCATGTCTCCCCTCCCCCACTGCCTGCACACAACCATTTTAACACAACAACACCGATCCCTCAGAACTGGGTCACACGACCGTCGTGACACAACTGTAACCCCTCCCCGAGGCACACACAGATCTGAGAAACACAGACACATGCATGCACAAAGTGAACGATTCCTCACATTTTATTGTTCTGCTCCCAACCCCCAAGTTTTTCCTCTCATATAAACTGTAACGGCATGAATATGCGTTATTGAAATCAATTGTTCGCCTGAAATTGTGTGTTAAATGCGAGTATGGGTATATTTCGAAATGTTAAATTCTGGTTGTTTGTCGTTTTAATTTCCTTATAAGCATGCTACTACACAAAATATTCTTATGTGCATTGTTCGTCTACCGCTTCTATCTTCAACTCAGATCGATCAACACCATTCATTGTACGTGTGTACACGGGCTCAGNTCCGGGAGCCGGGACGGATTCAAACGTGTTCATCGAACTTTATGGTGAACAGGGTGCATCCGGTATTATTCCATTGAAGACCAGTTGGGACAATGGAGGTCATAAAGTGGTGAACAAGTTTGAGGCTGGTTGCGTTGACACATTCACATTGAAAGCCATGGATATTGGCCCGTTACAGAAAGTTCGGTGAGTCTACTATCTTCTCCCACACATTGGAATGGGAAATCATCGGACGAAAGAAGGAATCACTGTTTATACTATTAAAAAGTTGTATAGTGTGGTTCCACGTGGATAATACTGTTACATTCGCTATGGATTTTGTGTAAAATCTATTATACTCGTAAAAAAATTCGGTACTACTCAAAGGCACAGGCTCTTCTACGTTATCTTATTCAAATTAGGTCTCATGTATGTGAAAAACCATGTGTTACAAAATAGATACAGCATAGAGGAGATGTTACAGACTGCTGCAAACAAATAAGTTCTATAATGACCGTTTTTTGGTTACTTCGTCTTTGTTCGGGTTTAATAGATCATCGGAAACAGTTTTGTGCATTTGGTAAAATGGCTGAAATCTCTCAGTAACCGTTTGGTTCAATTCATTCTGAGAAATACAGGATTCGTTTGCAGGAGCATAGACCACATTTGTATCGCCTTCATTAAATGAGCATAGGGAATCACTCAAGATCTTATCGTTAACCATTTCATTCATTTGGTTTCATAGATTGGCTCATGATTCCACCGGTGTCGGTCCATCGTGGCAAGTTGCGCGCGTGGAAATCGATGCCCCTAAATTGAATCTGGGTTGGACGTTCCCTTGCAACCGTTGGCTCAAATCTCGCGATGATCGGAAACTATCCGAAGTCGAATTGTATCCGCAATCAGATCTGACAAAGTTTTTGAGATCCAGTGAGTACCTTGTACGAGTAAAATCAGATTAAATCAGTTATATACAAAGTACATATGTATGTACAACTAGCGTGAGGATAAACCTGACGAAAATGCGTATATACAATGGTTATCTCGTGCAGTTGTGAAAACGAAACCACACTTGAGCACTTCAACTTACAATTGCTTGTGAGTGGTGATGTGGGATGATTATGGATTGTTTATTCATTAGGCTTTGACTACGCGTAACATTTCGGGGAGTGTTCGTTCTGAGATTTTATATTCGTTTATCTAATGATGAATAATTGGGGTCTGCATGATGAACTGATGTGCGAAGTAACGCTCAACTAGGAAGTCTACCAAATGTGTTGTTGACTGGATAAAAGGGAAATCAATCCAAATTCAGTTCATTTTCACTAGTGCATGCATACTCACATCTGATTAGTGTTGCTGTGATTAACTAATATACCCATGTTTCGGTATGAGTTTTTATGTATAACTCGAGCAGTCTTACTCCCTTGAGCGATTCGGAGAAGCCTTTACAATGCACTTGGTAAGGTGTGAAAAAGTGATTCGCGTGTCGCATGTAGTTGTTTTGCTAATTGTTTCTTGATTGTAAACAGACTTTTTCAACCGATCCGACTTATTGTCCGTACTTAAGTTCAAATTATTTTTATGATTATTTGTTTACCGAACCGGTTTTGAAAAATAGCACGTGTATCTTAGAAGAGTCAAACGTTGGCCCGTGTCATCATCGCTTAAACCTTTTCCATTTCGAAGTTCCCACATGGCGCATCGTTCCACAACTGATTGTCCTGTGGTGATTCTCCACCAAAACTTAAACAAAATCGGATTCTGAAATTATCCGTCTCCTATGCCTGCCGGAAAATCACACCATCGATCGGGTTCATTTATCGATCAGTCGGATAGTTCAGCCGCAACAAAGGACCTGGTGCTTGCCCGGCTAACCCGAACGAGAAACCACACCTTGTTTACAGCCGTGAGTCTTAGCCAGGCCCAGTGAACTTCAACTGTATAGCAGGCGTGACTTCACCATACTGATGGCTTTATACTTAGGCTTTATGCCTAAAGAAGTTTTCGCAATACAATACAATACAATACAAACATAACCACAAGAGCATCATAAAATGTACAAGACAATGTGAAACGGTGGTACCATCGCCCTATTCACATAGAAACATGACATCTTAAATTGATACTGGGACACCTTAAATTGATATTCGGATATCTTAAATTGATGCTGTGACATCTCACATTGATGTTCGGACATCATAAATTGAAAAACGTATAGTATCAATGCAGAATAAAAAATACTTTTTGTTTGTAGGCCTTCATTTCATTGCTTCCCCGTTTCAGCTATGAGTTTCGAGGTTAAAATATTCACCAGTGGTCAGTCCTCGTCCGTGATGTCCGCTGCCGTGTTTCTACAAATTTATGGAAAAGACGGACAAGGATCTCAACCCATCCGGCTCCTGTTTTCAGAGGATTCAACTACATTGTTCAAGAAGGACTCAGTGGATACGTTCTATGTAGAAGTATTGGAGTTGGTCATGCCTATCTCCAAAATACGCATCTGGCATGATAACGGTGGAGTGTCACCAAATTGGCACGTATCTAGAGTTGAACTGCGACATATAAAGCCTAACAAACAGGTAATTGTCTGTTGTTTTTATGATTCCAGACGTTTATTCTGTGCTCACTCGAAAGGCGTTAAACTCTCCTGCCTCCCTTAATGCGTTTTTGTCAAACTAGCAAGTATTCTTTAACTTTTTACTTTTCTGTTGTTTACAACGACCATTAGTTTCTCGAATTTCCTTGTCCCAAAACCAACTGATGCATAGAAATTGGGGTTTCATTTGTTTTCTGTTTGTCTGACTGTCTGCATAGCTGATTACACTGGAAGATTGTGTGCAGATGAATGGCTGTAACCTGGCACAATACACAAACAAATAACAGAATCCGTGCAATGTTTCTCTTCAGCGAGGCAGCCCACCCAGTGTGGGTGGTTAACCTAATTCCGGATTAGCGATTCCACTGTACCCAAAAGAAGNCAAAAGAAGGGCATCAATTCCTGTCACTGCGGATGTAATTCTTAAAGAAATAATACTTGACAAAGAACCACAGAAACATATTAGCTTACTAGTGAAACTCCATTCAAGAGCAAAATATAGGGCAAATGGGCAGTTGCGAAATTTACTATCATGTTTTTCGATTGACAATCTACACATACAAACAATACACTTGATTTCAGGTGATCGAAACCTTCGTTTTCGCATGTGAAAAATGGCTTTCACGTGGAAAAGCAGATGGTGCTATTGAACGAGAACTGGTCGTAACCAGACAGGTGGATACACGAATGTCCGGGCAGAGTATGGATGTGAGCACAGCGAACAAGCCTAAAATTGTCAATTACGAGATACGTGTGATCACAGGCGACCGGCCACATGCGGGAACGGATGCAAATGTGTATCTGACCTTGTTCGGGGATCGAGGAGACAGCGGAGAACGGAAGTTGGCCAAATCACAGACTAACGTGAATAAATTCGAATCTGGGCAGGTAAGGATCAATTCCAATATTCTTCTTATCGTAACTGTTATTCATATTGCAAGACCGACGGTGGAAAAAGGGACTCATATTTTCAGGACAACTACATTTTCTAAAATATGCATTGCTATTCAAATTATATATATTAATAATATGCTATATTTAAATTGATTGAAAATAGAATGATTTGCACAAAGCGGGCCGCGGTAAAGTAAAAACATACTTGAAAATATTCAGAACTGAAAGAGAAATTTTGAACAATCAAAATATATCCCGCGAAATATCACATGATTTACACGTACTTTCAAATTATTCAGAAAATTCGATAATACAAGCGTAAGCTATGCTATACTTTATTGAGTTATTTGAATAATGCATAGGTATATACATGCTATTCATTGAGGAATGGGCTTGATTGTAATCGCTGGTGTAGTGTTATCGATTGCAACTTATGTTTCTTCTATTTAGAGAGTTATTTTTTGAGCGATGAAAGATTCTTCACTGTAAGAGGAAGTAGAGTAATTCTGATATCTGAGCAGCTAGATTTTACCTGGCGGACACGTCACAGGTGAAGTGTCGGCACGTAGACAGGAAGCTCGATTGGTACTTGCCAACATGAGATACCTGTAGCTGTATCTGAAAGGTAGAGTGTATGCAGCAGCAGTTCCGTCAATACTGCGGAGACGTGAACTTTACGGGAACTGGAAAAATGGATTTTCGGTGTTTAAACACCGCTTCTACGTCACTTCTCACAAGTTATGTGGTGAAACCGGACGAGCCATGATGAGGTTAGGCGTAGAGTTTTAGGTATTCGCGGTCGACCAATGGAGTAACTGGTTCATCTCCATAGACTACGCGGATTACCACATGTGTTGCTCATGTCACCAGATGGGTTAACACGGTGAGCAATGTTTGCCGAGGTAGTAAGCAGGTGGGAAAAGGTCTATGGCCATCAAACGAAGACTTGGTATGAGAGTATGAAAACCCTGACGTGTAGACGCAGTCACAGAAGTACGTTAAGCTCCCTGGATGGTTACCCCGAGATCGTGGAAACCGGTGGTTAGAGACATTAGGAGTGTCAAAAACCGTTGTACTCGTGCATTTACTCAGTATTCGTGCAGCCTCAGCTTACATGGACACGCACTTTCGTGCACCGGTTTTGTTTGCTGCCTTTTGGCTGCCGATCTGGATGAAACAGTTGGAGAAAGACGGAAAAGTTGGAAGTAGGGTCAAACAGCAAATTGAGAACTCCAATGAACTAAGGCTGCAAAGGAATTGAGAAGATGCACGAAGGGAACTGTTCACGACACATAGTCATATCACACAGTGTCTCCACCCATCGGTTACGGTCATCCCGATATCCCCAGCCAAGGAGTCTAACAGGACCTTTATGTAGCCGAGTCTCCTGGTTATGTTTTCATACCGTCTTACGAGGTCCTGTTCTGACCGCCGTTTGCTTTGTTCCACCCATTACCTGCCTCGGCAACATCGCTCACAGAGGCAACATATTTGGTGACATGCGTAACAAATGTCCTTTTGGACTCCACTTTCAACTTCCTTTTCTTCTCCTGTTCTTCATCCAAAAGACAGCAACCAAAACCGGCGATCGAATGTGCGTGGTTAATGGTTGTTCAAACTGAACTGAACCAACTTAATCTAAGGAGGTCAACCACTGGCTCCAGTGGTCGACCGCGGTTACCAAAAACTCTGCGCCTAACCGCAGGATTTCTCGTTCGGCTGACCCACCAGATTCGTGTGAACCTCGAGATGGCAACCTCGCGTTGAACTCAATTTTCAATATGTTCTAAAACCCGAATACACAAGGGCTTTTCCGTTATGTTGCTGTGCACGGTTCTCGTAACAAATTCATCACAAAAAGCCTGTTTCGGTTTATTGAAGTAATGATGCAGTGCATGCATAACGTTCGGGGAATAAAATTGAGGCCCATCACGTATTCGCAATTCGATCCCGAGTGAACAACTTCCGATTATCTGTTAAGAGCAGTTTGAACAAATATCTCAGCGTTGCACTTCATCCGTTAAGTGTAGGTCGATTGTAGTGGGAACCTACCAATACAGTGGCCTACGGCGTATTTAGAGCATCAAGCTTGGGTTGTGAAATCCTGACCCGAATGTTAGCGGTTCGAGTCCTGACAGGGACACCAAACGTACGCACTGCTTAAGAGTCCCAAATAGGACAAAACAGCTGCCCAGGGCT